AGCGTGGCACCTGTTACTACTAGTAAGGCACTTGTTCGTAGTAGCTTTTTGTTACTACTAGTAAGGCACTTGTTCGTAGTAGCTCCTTGTTACTACTAGCGTGGCACCTGGTGAAAACACGTTGGAGAGCAGGTCATGCCAGGACAAGTACACAGTTTTGAAACACGCACTGGGTACATTTGTTTAATGATGCTGGTGTGAGTGGCAGGTCAAACTGCCTGCCAGCACCCATTGAGTTTGAAGAGAATGCTGCCTGAAACAATTTTAGCTATACTTAAACAATCTTAGATATGAACTCTGAACTTTGCTGCCATTCTGAGCATGCCACCAATGACAGCATGTGGCAGGAGTTGCTCTAATGCTGGTGTGCGTGCAGGCTGTAAATATTGCAGCTCAAATTAGGTGCCTTGAATGGGGCCTGAGCCCCTTGGCATCCCAGATGGTTTGGCGGCTTCTTGTGGTGCTGGCTGCCATTGGTGTCCTGGTTGCCGATTTTGTCTGGAAAGCTTCCCAATGGAACGTCAGAAACCACGACTATGAGCCTTTGGCAGTCGTGTCAGGTGGAGAGACCGACACCGAAAAGGGCAACACAGAGCAAAATGTGGAGCATTTGCTCCTCCGTGGGCCCCCACAGCTCCTTTGCATTATCACTACGCTCTGGCTCTTGGTGCTGCTGTATTGTGAAACGATGACTTGGCAGCGCCTGGTGGCTAGCCTCCCAGGGTACATCTTTGCCACCTACTTGGCTTTGGTCGTTGAGTGGAAGCAGGAGACAAAGGATGGTTGGAATTGGGAGAAGTGGCGGGACAGGAACCGGCACCTGACTGTGATCATCACAATGGCCATTCTGCTCTTCTTGTGGCTCATGGTCCCCTTCATCGAGATGCCTTGGTACCTTGTGTCAGGGGATCGATGTTATTCTGCACGGCTTTGCAGTCCGCTTAGCAATGGCAAACGAAGACGAAGAGGGCGAAGCCCTTGGCATCAAGACGAAGACGAAGATCAAACTCATCAAAAAGGAGCAAGTCCCTGGTTTCGTTGCTTGCCTTTGCTGGTCTCTCCGTCGCTTGGATCGGTGGCTTAGCCATCTTCTTCACCATCACCTGGCAACTGACCCTTTTTGCTCTCCCAAGCTGCATTTGGATGATGTTTCTTGGCTACAGGGTGAGGAGTTCTGATGGACGTTTGCCGCGACCAAATGATTTGGCACTGATGATGGCTTGGTGCTTTTCTCTTCCAGTGCTGCATGCCACCGGCCTGTGGTGGCTCTTTTTGCTCCTGGAGCTCATGGCTTTCATGGTCTTTGCCATCCCCACTGCTGAATCTGAATACCCACATGTGCTTTCTTGTGTGATCTCCGCAGGCTTAGCTTCTCTCCCAGGATCCTTAACTGGGGCGATGTGGACCTCAGGTGGTCGTGATCTTCTTGGCCAGTCTTCCGGCATTTTTGGCCTTTGGATCTACTTGGTGCCCTTCACCTTGGTTTCTATGTCTCCGCCGGTTCAGGACGAGGTCCCAGCTAGGATCAACATGCTCGTCCTGGCAATGCTGCCACTCCAGATCGAGCCGGACCTGCAGTCCGTGCCGAGCCTTGGTGCCAACGGACTACCTTGACATCGATGTGAAGCTCAATGCGAGCTTCAAGTTCCAAGTGAACCTTCGGAACTCGACGGTGCCTTTCTTGCAGCCCAGACCGTTATGGCCAACTTCTGAAGAGCTTGGAGGACATAATCGGACTAGCTACTGGGCCAGATACATGCTCACCAAGTACCTCCTGGCTGTGGCCATGTCAGTTCTGGTGCTGAGTGCACTCACATGTCTTGGACATGAGGATCATGCGGGCACTGAGCCTGAAGCCTTGTCAGATGGCCAACGTGACCTACGGACGACTCTAGTGGTCGTGGCACAGTTGGCTTTGTGCACGAAGCTCTGTTTGACGGCAAGCTGGTTTGGACAGCTGACAGCCAGCGGTTTGGATTTCGAGGGCTACGACACTTGCCTCACTGCAGGCCTTCTTTGGTTTCCCCAGGCGTTCAGCCGCATTCTTAACCGAACCTATGATCCAGTGGATGTTGCTTTGAACAGTCACTCTTGCCCTTCCTGGGCGACCCGTTTGACTCGGTCAAGGATACGATGCTGGCAGTGGCCCTTAAGGGTTTGGTGGGCGAAGATCTTGGGAGGTGGGGCGTTGAATTTGTGGGCCCTGCACCTTGGCGTTCTGCCAAAATGACATTTTTTTACAAGCAATTGACCCCTGCACGCCTGTGGGCCATGCTGGTGGAAGATGTTTCTCAAGGACTTCTTGCCTTTGCGGTTTCTACTCAAGATGGATTTACAGCCTACATGTTCATGATGAACATAGCTGTGCCAGCTTTGCGCATTTGCTGGGCATGGGCCTTCCACTATAAAATTGCTGGGGAGGTCAGGGAGTGGATGCTACAAGAAGCTGTGGATGCTGTTGCAGAAGGCAGGGCCGCCAGCCAAGGAGCAGGTGAAGCCGCTCCTTGCCAATTCAAGAGGAGATTTCAGAGGAGAAGAAAGGGCTGGACTGGACTGGATTCATCCAGTTTTAAGTATCCGTTTCTGAACTGGATGTCTTTGCAGAATCTGGCCGAAGGAGATGATGTTGATGGCCTTTCCTCGGATCAGGTCACGGTGTGCAAAGGCTTGCTCTGGCTCGTCCTGGAAGATGCCAATGCCATGAAGGGACTGGTGACGCTTTGGGAGCTTTGGAAGCATCAAACTTTGAGGATTGGAGGTTATGGCCATGGAACTGGTGATCGTCGAATTGGTGATCCTGAGTGCCGAGCCTTGGCCCTTGGAATCGGCCAGATGCAACACCTCACGAACCTAGCGCTGCACATTGCAAACAACAAGATCGGCAAGGATGGCTGCGAGAGTTTGGGTGAAGGCATCTCCAAACTGCAGCAGCTCACCCACCTGTCCCTGGGCTTGATGGACAGATTGACCTGTCCTACCAATCGTTTAAATGGGATGCTGTTTGTCAGACAAGCTTGGAGTTAGCCAGTGCCCTGACCAAGTCGGTTCTTTTCGATTGTAGTAGTTCCAATCGAGTGGCTGTGCTTTGCTTCCGGAAAAACAAGATAAACTCGTCGGGCGTGCTGTCCTACCAATCGTTTAAATGATGTTAAGGGCGGTGAAAGGACCAGGAATTGGTCAGGAACTCGATCAAAAAGCGAGGTTTGTTCGAAGGGAAACGACTACATTCCCTTTGTTTGAAAGACCAAGGGAGGAGGCTTTACAGAGACTTCTTGAAGGCATGGGGTGCTGAGGATAGATTTCCAAGTCTCGAAAGTGGTTTCTCCAGTTTTTGCTCCATGTCAATCAGGCAGGATGCCACACTGAAGAGCACCAATCCAGGTGTGTAGTGAAGCCTCTCACACGAGGAGCAAAGGTCTCCTTTTGGCGACAACAGATTTGAGCGAGCATGCTTGAGAGCACGTTGAAAAGGACAATTTTTAACAGAAAACGATTGAAATGCTTGAAGCACTCAAGCGCCAGAAAGAAACCTCACTGTGTATGTGTTCACTGACCGCAGCCTGTGTAACCCCTCAGAGGCTTTGTTTCTCAGTGTTCTTCGCGCATTGCCGTCCATCATGGTTCTTTCTGGCGCGTGCTCGCGCGCTGGGTTGTTGCCGTGGTTTGTGACGGTGTTTGTGGCAGTGACGGTTGCGACGGTATGGGCTGAAGCGGCTGAGTCCCGATCCGCACCGCCTGTGGCCATTTCGGCGGCAGCTTCAGTCTCTGTCGGCTGCAAGGGCTGCAATACGACCAACGAGACGGAGACAGAGGTGCTTTTGCAATTGCACCGCGCGAGGTCTTCCAAGGGAGATCCGCAGTCTGCAGAGGCTGCGCAGCAGGCTGTCCAGCAGCCAAAGCAGTCGTTGAAGCAGAGAAAGTCCATGAGCAGCTCATCTTCCCAGCCGGTTTTGAAGGCAGGACATCGAGCGGTGGAGGTTGCACAGCAGCCAAATTTGAAGGCGACAAAGCAGTCGTTGAAGCAGAGCAAATCCATGGACAGTTCATCTTCCCAGTCGGTTTTGAAGACAGGACACCTGGCGGTGGAGGTTCCACAGCAGTCGCCGCAGAAGGAGAGGCAAGGAGACTCGGAGAACTCTGGTGGAGAATCATCGAAAAGTGGCACACTCGTCGCAAAGCTTGCGCAGAGCGCGCAGAAGTTCGCCAATTTGTACCCCAAATTCAAGAAGAGAACTGCAGACCTGAAGAAGGTCACGCAGAGCGGGCGGAAATTCGCCGAACTCTACCCCAAGTTCCGGAAGAGTACCAGAGAGCTAAGAGGTGTGTCGTGGTCATTGCAGAAGAAGATCAACGACTTGGAAGAGAAGATTGCCAACATCCCAGGGCGGAGCCGCGCTCTAATCCCCAAAAACACCTTTGAGTCACCATGTTTGGAAGATGAAGAAGGAGAGATTGCTGGCAGTTGCACGGATTCAAAGCTGAAAAGACATGTCGCTAAAGACATTAATTTATATACATGACATGTTACTTTGAGTCATTGAGTTCGTTCGATTGATGCAATCTGAGGAATCGACCGTGCAGAATTGCCTTTTTGATCTCGCCTACACTTCCCCAGATGATTGGACGGGAACTATTTTGCCGGGATGCAGAGAACGCCTGACGGGGGATTATCGGGAGCTCCATGGCGGCAACCTTGAAGTGCAGATTTCGTGGCAGGTGCAGCACTTTGTGAACCAGAAGTGCAGATTTCGTGGCTGGCACAGCAGTTGGTGACCCTCAAAGTGCAGATTTCGTGGCAGGCGCAGCACTTGGTGAACCTTGAAGTGCAGATTTCGTGGCAGGCACAGCACTTGGTGAACCTCGAAGTGCAGATTTCGTGGCAGGTGCAGCACTTGGTGGACCTCGAAGTCTCCCACTTTCACTCACACTCACACTCCCTCACACTCTCACTCTCACCCACACACTCGCTCACACTCCCTCACTCTCACTCACACCCATTCTCATCCACACTCACTCCCACTCACACTCACTCTCCCTCACACTCGCACTCACGCTCACTCACACTCACTCTCACTCTCATCCACACTCACTCGCACCCACCTTCACCCGCACTCTCACTCACACTCACACTCCCTCACTCTCCCACTCTCACACTCCCTCACACTCTCTCACTCTCACGCACACTTACTCTCACCCACACTCGCACTCGCACTCACTCTCACTCTCACTCTCACTCTCACCCACACCCACTCTCACTCGCACTCGCACTGACACTCACTCGCCCACTCGCACTCACACTCACACTCCCTCTCACCCACACCCGCTCACACCCTTCATCACCACCATCACCTCTTTGCTGGGGTCTCTTGCCGGGATAATTATATTCGTGTTTTTCTTAGGCATTGTTCTTATCGCTTTTATGTTCAATATGTTCTTCTTGTTCTCGGTCAGTGGTTTTCAGTGTTTTTCAACATGTGGCTTTCTTGTTCTCTTGGCCATTTGGTCTGTTAATCTACATGGCACTATCTGTGTATAGGGCCTTTTTTGGTGAATGCGAGGAGAAAGGAGCCATTCCAGCGTGCATAAATTTTAGAGGTCTTTGGAATAGAGCTTGTGTTCCAAATTGAGTTGAAATGTGTTCCAAATGAGTCGGACTCATCACGAATGTTCGCATGATACGATGTTGTGTCCGTTTTTGGTTCGCCTCTTTGCTGGTCAAAGGGTGTGGTCTCTGTGTTTGCGAAGCAACAAGTCTTGACTCGTAGACTTAGGAATGATTTGGTTTTGTGTTCTTTTATTGTAGCTTGGTGCAATGCAATTCCGGTTGTTGCGTCGAAACTCGGAAGTCGATGCATTCTTCGGCTGTCGAAAGTTGCCAAACAGCACACGGCAAAGCCGCAAAGCATGGAGCACAAAACCGGAGTTGCACAGCCCACAGACAACACGCACCCTCAACGACTTCAACCGCAAACTTGTTCCTGAGACTATCAAAACAGCCATGTTCCGCATATTGGGAGAAAGCCTTTTCATACGACCTCGAAATATATAGGTAGTATAAAGCGTTGATATAGGGGCGGAGTTTGGCTTCTGAGGTTCCTCAATTCATCCACGTGCCAATTTGTGGCGTGCGCTG